GCGGCCCGCTCCTGCTTGTTCTTGGACGTGCGGGAGGCGCTCCGAAGCTCTCTTTTCGGCTTCCCCTTGGCTCCGCCGCGGCCGGACGAGGAAGCCGACGTGCTCATGCTGCCGTCTCTGGCGTGCGCGAAGGCGGCGGACTTCTTGGGTCGCTTGCCGTCGTGGTAGTCTCGTGTTAAGATTGGCGACTCCGGAGCAGAGGAGATGGATGTCGAGGTGTAGTTGGCGATACCGGCCGTGCCGTTGAAGTTGATCTCCGACCCGCCCGACATGTCCGGGCTTTCCGCAGAGCCTTCGAAGAAGCTGCCGGGTTGTGAGGCTGGAGAGAAGTTGAAGCTAGCCATGCCCCCTGCGTTGCCAACAGGATCCAGGCCGATGTCACCCCCCCAGATCTGGTTCGCCGGAAGACTGCGCTCTACCTGAGCAAAGGATTGGGGTGCGGCCGTAAGGTAAGAATTCCGGCCCTCGACTTGTTCATACTGTTGCCGTATCAGCGATGGGTTGGCGATGAAGGTGTTACTACCGAACGGGAACCCGGAGGGGTTGTCGCTGCTGTTGATCGAACCCGAGCCGGACGCGGACGTCGTGGTAGTCCATCCATCGTCAACGGCAGCAGTGTATGTCGGGTCGTAATATTGATTCTGAAATCCCAATGGACCAGCAATACTGGGGTTGTTCGCCAAGGCTGATCCGGTTCGCGCCGAGGAGATGGCGGAGGTGTAGGAATAAGGTGGGGCGTTTCGGGCCCGATCCCGCCCGGGAATGGTGCGATTCACGGGCCCGGCCGCCGTGTCTGCTCCACTAAAAGTCACCAGGTCGTCCGGTGACCACCCGTCAATTCCCTACAAAAGGGTCAGTCCACATTCCTCAACAGTCGCCTGTCTCCAAATGGCAGCTGATAGCTTCGCAATCCCGTCCTCTTATACTCGCCACATCCACTCATGGCTCGCCAGTGACACATCGCCAAACATCTTCGGCCAAAGCCGCTTGAACACTGGCAGTCGTTCTCCCCCATCACTCTTCCCCCGTCACACACAACATTAGGACATGTCATTTTCAGCACCTACCTCTCATCTTTCGACCGCCGTGGGGGCTTCCTCAGTTGGCTGATCGAGAACACAAAAAAGGGCCGGCGTCTCAAGTGAGACGGGCGTGGGATAAAAGGAGCAATAGAAAACAGGTTTGTGAAATCTCATACCTCGGACCCATCGACAAAAAGTGAGTTGTCGAACTCGTCGTCTTCGATAACCATGGTCGAGATCTGATGTGTTTGGTATTGTCGATATCGGCGATATTCGGTGTTTGTTGGTTTGTTGTCGATGCGGTATTTTGATTTTCTCGATCGGGCTGACTGTCGAATTTGTTCCAATACCGACAATGACGACTTCTTTCTATATACTTCTTCTTCTCTCCTTTGAGCAAGTTTTTCGCAAGTGCGATTCCGCGGCCGAGTCTCTCCAGGCCAAGGCGCAGATCTCGCAACGGCCCCTTCGACGGGAGGGACACGTGGTACAGAAAGTCTAAGTCTGTACCGAGCTGCTCCCTCCCTTTCATCCAGCCCTAGCAGGCGATAGCGGAGGCGAGCGGAAAGGTAACGAGACTTACGACCGTTACATCAAAAAGCTAAGAGGCGGCCTTGGCCTACCGGCTTTGTGCCTAGTGCTCGTATTGCCGTCGCAACCGAGACTAGACCGTGAGGCTGAAAGGGGGCTTCCAGAAGCTGCGAGGTCCTCGGAGTCGTGTTGTTGTCGAAGGAGTCACCGGTTGTGGGGTGCTTCCTGCCGAGGCTCACTCCACGGTCAGATGAGTGTTCAATGTTGGTTTGTTCTGGTTAGGCTCCGGTAAGTGTGTGTCGTTGCGATTGCCTATTAAGTAGGGCATGTGCGATGGAGAGCCGAGCTATGTCTTATGCTTTCTAGACGACGCTGTCAGATCTAGGCTGGCACGTGGCTTTATGTCAATAACAAGGAACTAAACTGGATAAGAAAGTGTGTCCGGGGGAAGTTGGGAATGGCCCACTGTTCACCGCTCCATGTCCTATTAATGGGAGGTCGCCTATGGTCCGCCGGTTTCTTATCGCAGGGATCATCACTCGTTCCGCAAGCCGGTTCGAATGCTCCGGATTCCTTCGCGAGGCACTCCTCGGCCACTGGTGGGCGTGGTGGCAGAGTAGGGGCCCACCGCATCTATGTAGCACTAAGGTAGTGCACTGCAGATGCCGCCCGCCCCAGCCGGGCATGGCGTCCGGAACGAATAACATACGCCGTCGCCGGACACAAAAGAAGGACCCTAAGCCTTCCCGCCCTCCCGCCCTCTCACCAAACCAGAGTTCTTACCAATCATTTGTCCGGGACGGCATTCCGCTAGACTCCGCTGGCCCGGACGACGGCGGCAACCCTCCTCGTTGTGACATTGCTGTCATGGCGACACTAGATACTGACGGAATCAACAGGAAACTGTCGCGGACAGTATCTGTCTAACAGGCTTCTCTTGTCAGCACAGGAAGCCCACAGAAGGCTCCCTGTCACAGGCCAGACCCACGGCATCTACGGTCACAGACCTAGTATCACGACCAATGACGACCGTTGCTAGTGATGTAGGTCGCCTTTCGGTACGGTGGCGCATCGAGCACCGCTTTACCTCAAACAGCATGCCTCCGCTTAAGCCTGCTGCCGTTAAATTGCCATACCCCATCAACAGCTACAGATACGAGAAGCCACACTGCTAAGCGGCCGCGCCCCTAGCGGCACAGAACCGGCGCGAGAGCATCCCATCGACTTGGGGCAAAGCGTGCCACGACATGTTCATCACCTGATCATAACATATGTTCGACCAGGTCGCTACATAACGCAAAGTCCATAACATGATATAAGATGGCAACACCCTTCCAAAACGAATGCTTGAAGACCCAAGCGAAGACCACCTCCATGCCACTGAGATTCCCACTGTCTACCTACCATCAATCTCAGCCCCGTCGTCACGTCACAAGCTTTTTCCCGAGCTCCGGGATACAACAACCTGCTCGATCGCCGGTCACTGGAACCCAGTCCCTGTCTAGCAACCGCCCTATGTCCTTCAGCCGCACAAAGCTTGGATATATACCCGCTCTGGGGGAACCATTGCCACTTGGAGGTGGCCGTGAACGGGAGAACCAGGGCGACTTGTCCTGACACGTGTCGGCCCCTTGGACCAATATCAGATCATCTACAGGACCAGGACCAAACCAAAACCCACGTTCCCCTGGCTACCCTTATTTTGACTTACCCGCGCAGGCCGCGGCTACCCGGGAGGAAAAGGGGTCCATCTAGTACTTTAGGCAGGGAAACTGTTCATTGTCTTCTTCAACGCCGCATCTAAACGCGTATCCACGAGATCTACATCCGTCCAGGACAATGTTGTTGCCATTCGTTTCCCTGGAACAGGACCTCGAATCTAGAACGAAGAAGAACACCCGACGATCACCAGTCTCGTGACCACCCCGAGCACACCACAGCCGCACCGAAGCTTGGTACGCGACGTTACCATGGCCATGGCCATGGCATGAATGGACAACCTTGTGACACCATCACGGGATAACACACAGTCGCAGAAGAACTTTCTGGAAGACCTACAAGAATGTGAATAAGCTACCAAACCGTCGGAGAGAGCGGCCTGGAATGAGCCAAGACGCAGTCCGGTAGCGGGATCACCATCATCGCCACGATAGCGTGATCTTCCCGGGCCCAAAAACACGTGCTAACCTGAGACACTCGCTATTTTGAGACCACTCCGACGCTATACTTGGAACTCCGCCAGTACACTTACAGACAGCCTCGGTTGACCTCGAGGGATCGACATCACCAGCTTCGTCACTCACATCGTCCCCCCGATGTCCGACTTTGACACGGAAGACGGCGGCAGAAGTCGGTCCGTAGACCAGAGACTATCCATGACCCGGGTCCAACTTGTCTATATCTCGCACACGTCACTCGTAGGTAGTGCTCGATGACTGGAACGGCTTCCGAGACACAGCCGCCCAGCCGCAGAATGAACATCAGCAGTGACAAGCACGTAGCACCACTCGATGATGGCGAAGGAGTCGGACACTCGACGGCCCCGACGAAGCCCCAGAGTCGCCAGAACCGGCTCCAGTGCTATAGCCACCGACGGCTTCCACGGACCCCGACAGAGCAGCGCCAGCCCACCTGCTCCGCTTGTCATTGTCAAGTCGATAAGCGTCGAGATATCCCATTGCCTCAGTCGAACCCAGAAATCATGAAGCCCTTCACCTCGTTCCAAGATCCGCCAACAGCTCGCAACAACCCACTGGCCATCAATGACCATAACCCCTCCGTTGACCGCAGCCGCTTCCGCTTCCTCCAACATACACCAACCGATCCTCGTCACGATATTGATTGGATCTTGCTCCTGATCCATGCTTGAAGTCTCGCTCCTCCTTTTCTTTTAGGCGACCCGACCACAATCACACCGTCGCAGTACCACAATCATACCGACGCAGTGTCCATCCACATGAAGCTCCAAAGTGATACGACTAGACCGCCACACAGTCAACTCCTCTTCAAGCAGTCGCTTCCTCTTATGGCCGCTTGATGGCCAGACCTTGCCAAACATAGCTGACTTCCTTGCTTACAGGCCGAGAGCCAAACTGAGGTGAGAGTCCGCAGTTCAAGCTTCGTACTACGGACTCCCCTCCACCCACCACACTCCTCGATCGCCCTTCCCTGACACAACCCGTTGTTGTCACAAAGCACAAGACCTTATCCGCCACCCAAACCGCCGTAACACCGTGAAAGGAGAGCTGAAGAGCAAAAGAAAACTCCGACCTCACGGAAATGGACAGCAGACTCTCGACCACAGCTGACCCCAGGTCGAACCACCCTCCACCGGCTACCACCGCCCCTTCATGTACACAACCACTAACCGTCCAGCGAAACGGAACGAACATAACCACACGAAAGACATGTTGCAACGACTGGCCACAAAGCAAAAAGAGAAGATATCTTCCCCTCACAGGCTTGAACTGTGGACCTCTCGATGTCTCTGTCTTGCGAAGATAACAGTCGAACGCTCTAGCCAACTGAGCTAAGGAGAACATGTTGAATCGAAGCGAGCTCTGAATAATGAAAGCGGGCGCTGCTATTGCGCTTTTTCCGGGATGGAATGGGGAAACTGACTCGGTGTAGCGAGAAGACAGACTAACGCAACAGGAGACTCTGACGTGGAAGCAAGGGCCGGAAGCGGTAACGTCGACTTGACGAGAGCGAGCGGAAGAGTTCCATCGCTTCTCTAGAACGAAACACCCAGACAGTCCTATCGAACGCACCTGGGGTCGTGTGCGACAAGTCAACCAGGGTTCGCTCCCTCAAGACGCCATCCATCCTTCGCACCGAACCAAAACCGCGCTCTACCCCATCGCGAACGAGTCATTGCGACGACGAAGTCGCGAACCCCAAAAGGAAGAAGATGCAAAAGAGAAAAGAAGAGACGTACAACACCAGGGATTTTCCGGTGGTCACCCACCCGAGTACTAGTCTGGCGATTCACCTGCTTATCTATGGGAGAGCGGACGGGATCCCGAGTTCTCAGATGTCTGTGGTCGTACGTGACGGTGCAAGTCCGTGAGGCGGGTTATATGTGTTGCGCTGTCTTGGGTGGGAGAGGGGTATTCGTCGTTGTTGAGAGAGATGAGGAGGCAATGTCATGGAGGCAATGGCACTATCGTGGGGTACAATGGATATGACAAGAGAAGGGGCGAACTTGCGGTAGATGGGCATGTCTCTATGCTGGAGTACAGAGGAAGGGCTCTATAAACAGGGTGGCGAGCTAATGAGACATGACAGAGCGACAGATGCGCAAATTCTACGACACGATGAACGATGAACGATGAACGATGAACGATGAACGATGAACGATGAACGATGAACGATGAACGATGAACGATGAACGAACAGTATTGAAGAAAGCAATTGACAAGTTTAACCCACCAGAGGAGATAAAGATCGCTTCTAATCATGGCCTCGAGTTGGTGAGGATAGCTCATATCCGCATCATGGTTTTGTTGTGATCAATACCACAAGAAACGGTGGAATACCCTAGAAACCTCAAAAACAAGAGAAAAAGGGGAACCCAAACAAACAAAAAACCTGGCAAAATGGCGTGAGGAAAAAGGGGGGCTTAGCCACCGCACTATACCACGTGACACCTTCATTCTGGTTAGCTTCATGCACTCTCACCTGATGATCATCGTGCAGCTTGGTTGGCTTTCTGCCACACCCCGGAAATCCATCGAATATTCTGACCTTCCCACCGGGTCGAAGATGTGGCCACTGTTTCGTTCGGACCGACGAACAGATGACATCCTTACGATGGCGTATGTTTGGAAGGGTTTGAAGGGCACCGGGTGCATGGCGGCGTCTGCTGCAATGTCAGCTCGGTACCGCCATCGTGGAAAACATACACCGTAAAACGGTTGAAGGGTGTCTTGGGTACATCGAATGGGCTGAAACTCCCGGATCGACGAAGAGAAAGCTGAAAATAACACCTGACACTGATTGGATACGGTGTAAGTTCACTGGAATGGTGGTGTGTGGAACGAAACTTGACCAACGAACAGCCATGTCTCACTGGCGATGGGATGGAGCTAAAGCTGGAATTGGAAGTATATTGACAGGTTTTCGTCGCAACCCTCATTTTGTCTCCAATAATACATCCTGCTGGGCTCTTCCAACCCTGTGCCTATACAGCTGATGTACATACTCTCCCTCAGCATCTTTCATGCCTTGCATGACTATCCTGTCATGACCCGTCATCATCCATCTCCTCATCCCCCGCATCATATCCAATACGCAACTCCCTCCAGGTTGTAACAGATGGCCATCAAAACAACAAGAACTTTGTGATCCTCCGAAACCAAATCTTTTCTGTTCCAGTTGCCTGCCGATTTAAGTGTTTCGCTCCAAAAAAATGCCGCACAAGTGTGAGAAGAAAAAAGAGCAACCCAAACAAAGCCTACGGACGCCTCGAATCCGTCCGGTCCGTCCCAAGTTTTTACCGTACCAAGAACGTTTATAAGTCCAACTTTTTAAAGTTACTCCAAACAACATGCGTCTATGCAAAACGACAGACGCTCCCGTGGCCATGACAAAGGAAAATGGTGAAACAAGTATATGTTTGATGTCGTCGATATTGTCAAATCAGATCCGGTTTCCCGAGATCTGCACACTCGGAAACAGCGCATACTGCCCCGGCGGCGGCGGCGTAGTAAGGCTAGTCGTCCTCGCCCTCCGGCGCGTGAGCAGCGGATCCTTCTTCTTGGTAGGCGACTTGGTCGCCAACCTGACCAGATTCGGGTCGCTGGCGCTGAGGTCGCGGCGCAGCGGGCCGGGCTGGTCCGCCATCTCCTCCGACTCGGCCAGGCTGGGCATGATGGTGCCGTGGCTCTTGGCGCGCGCGTGGACGGCGGGGAGGACCTCTTCGACGACGGGGACGGGAGGAGGCATGACTTCAACAGCGTCCGGCTTGGGGATGTAGCTCTCGATGTCGAGGGAGGAGGTGCTCATCGTCAGACGGGTGAAGTCTGTCGAGGCGGAGGTGGTGGAGATGTGTCGCTCCGAGTATTGGGAGCGGTCGGTCTCGTTGCTGCCGGTCGTGGAGGCGCTGGTGCGCGGGTAGACGAAGAGTGCGGATTTGTCCATTGTTAGTGTTGGCTCTTCGTAGGGCACCTGGTACGACAGGGTGTGCGGGCTGACGTTGCCGGTCTCGTGGGCCTGCATCTGCTCGCGGTAGTCGGCCGGGATGAGCAGCGAAGGCGAGAGGGTGAAGCCGTGCGACTCCTTGAAGCTGGATGCGTCAGAGGACTTCCTTACGTGGAGGAACCGCTGCGAGTGGACGGGCTCGCGCTTGGGAAGTGAAAAGTTGGAAGCCCGGGGTATGGTTACGGTTGGCGTGATGGCCTCTTGCGCCGTGGTGGTTGACGCCTGGCTGCACGGGCTCAGAGCCGGCATATCGAGTTGCCCAGGCGTGAGCATCGCCGAGGACACGTCGACGCGAGGGTTCTGCCGATGATCGCCCTCGACTGGTGTCACGGTATCGCCATCCCTGCTGATATCCAGCGACGGTCGGTCCCAAGCAAAGTCGCAGTCTGCCTCTGCCTCGTGCTCATAGCAGTAGTCAATATCATCTTCCCAGCTTTCGCGCTCGACCTCATCGGCACCACCTCCTTCCGTCAGAGCGGCTCTCAAGGCTCTCTGCGCTGCCAGTAGGTCAAGGCGACCAAGCGTGTCAGAGGCAGCACTCGGTGGCCGTCGGATGCCAGGGCTCTTCGGCCCTTGAGAGGATGACATTTGCCTTAGCAAGGGGACCGATTGGCTGGCTCTGAGCGATGAAGAATTGCTGGCTATACTGGCTCGCGATGGACGAACGACGGCCGGGTTCTCGTCCTCCTCGGGAACACCAGCCAGGAAGCTGTCATATGTTGGGCCAGGCGGACTAGGCAGGGGCCAGTTCGCATCGTCAGCCGGAAGCACCGTCCTCGGTGAAATGGGCGGCGATATCGTATCCTCTGGCAGTCCAAAGGGGCGAGGGTGGCGGAAGCCCCCGCTGGTTAGAGGTCGATCAAGATCCGTACTCGCTAACGGGTCGAATCCGTCGTAACGCATGGAGATGCGGCTAGAGACACGTGGCGGTGGTACAGGCGGGTTGGCTGCATATTCGGGCTCAACAGGAGACCTTGGTGGCCGAGGAGGAGGCGCCCGCAGCTGCTCTTGAGACCTTGTATGGTGCAGTTGCCGCCGTGGGGATATCTGGGGGATGTATGGTGGCGGGTGGGCAAGGAAAGGGTGTTCCCCGGCCTCGGGAAGGGGCAGCGCTTCGGAAGAGAAATCGGCAAATTGGGGCTCATTGTACTCGGCGACCGAGCCCATCCTGCTCCTCCGCTGTGTCTCTGGTGCATGATCCTTGTGTGTGTGCGTCACGTGTTGGAAGTTGTAGGGTACTGATATCTGGTATCTCTTCTCGGGGGCGGTTGTATCGGCTGCAGCCGACTTGAGTGTCCGCCGCCGGCCGAATATCTTCGAGGCAGACTGCTTGGTGGGAATGAGCGTCGGTGACGGCATGGCCTCGTTGGGGGTATCCGCCGAGTATAATGAGCTGGCTGATGAGCTCTGGGCGCTGGTCTCGCGACTCAGCTTGCCCCGCCGGTTGAACAAGGTCTTGCCGAATATCTGCACGCTTTCTGGCCGTTCACGGTTGGGCATGCTGCTAGCCGTGGACCTTCCAGACGATTTCCGTGAGAGAGTAATGCCCTCGAAGCCGTGCTCCCACGAAGGCCGACCTCCCGATGCAAGAGACCGAAGAGACGAAGATCCGGACGAGCTCGTCTGTTGGCTCTGGTGCTTGTCAAAGACAGATGTCCGCTTCATCTGCTTGTTTAAGGCCCGGATGCTTTCTGGGGACGGTGGCCCATCGATGGCTGGTCCCAGGAAGGTGCTCGACATGTCGTGAGTCAGTAGATGGGATGGAGGCGGAGGTCTCTCAGGAGGACCTGGAGGGGATGACGGAAGTTCTTTTATCGGAACCGGGCCATCAGAGGATCTGCTGGGCCTTTTAGGGGCCTTGGTACCCTTCTTTTGTTCCCCTGTCAGTGCTGCGCGATAGTTGTACGGCAGGGGGGAATAGGCCCAAGTGCCATTCATCTTGAGGGACTTGCGCCCAAAGTGGGCGGTGTCACTGTGGTAAGCTGTATCAGTGGGTACAGGCAGCTCAATCCTGGGCGACCTTTGGTGGTACGCCGCCCCGTAACTGTGGTCGTTTCGCGCGGCGCAAGGCACAGTGACCTTGTGCCGGGATCTACCCTTCTGGCTCGAGGGGAAATAATTGATAGTTGAGAAGCCGATGTGGATACCAGACCCGCGTCTGGATGTCGCAAGCGGATGGGTTTCGCTGGGTCGGTTCAGTTGCTGTGGATGGCTTTGGCCGTGACGGATCGCCCGCGTCGCTGCAAGCTGTCACTGGTGGACGGAGGAGCCAGGAGGACGGTGCGCGCAGTAAGACGGGAAGGATGGATGTCAACCAGACGGGTGCGCGTTGAATTGC